CTGCGTCTTGGTGCCTCGTGGGCGGGACTGCGCGTCTGCTTGTGCCGCTCGCGGCGCGGGAGGTGGGGGAGCGCACACAGGCGGCGCGAGGACGAACAGCCCCCAGTAAAGCGTGAGCCGCCGAGCGACGTCTGCGGCCGGGCTGGGTCTAGCGGCTGAACGGCTGCCCAAGCCGATGGTCCGGCCATGCTTCCAGCGCCGCGGGGGCTCTGGCACGTCCAGCGCTGAGTAGCAGCTGCGGCACGTTGCCCCCGTGCGCGATTCCCGAGAGGACTTGGCTGCCGCTGCCGGCAGGGATGGCGTCCTGGCCCCGAGTGAGGGGTCCCGGCGGGGAGTCACACCGGGGCATTGCTCTGCCATTAATCTGCCCCCAGGTGATGCTGCCTAGTGCGGGGGCTGGCCTCGGCCGTCTCCCGAGGTTCCCTCCAGCTTCGCAGTCTGCGATCCCTTTCCTAATGCATTTGCATTCACCCTGCAAAACATGGGGTCACGTCACTCCCCGGCTCTCGTCGTGCCTGTTGCTTTGTTTGTGTATTCTGTGCTCCGCTCGATGGGCTAGATGGAGAGCCCCGAGTAGGACCGGAGGGTAGACGCGGAGGGTGCTGGTGTGGTGAACGGACACGCATTCAAGCCTGGCTCGTGTGTCCCTCGGCTGGCATCCTGGTGCTGCTGTGGGAAGGCAGCGGGGTGCCTGCGGGGGCAGGTCCCATGCCAGAAATGCCACAGCACTTTCCACCGACAGCCTGAGGATGCTGCTTGCTGTTGCTGGCAAGGACGGGGAGCCCTACTACTTGCTTTGGAGGAGACCTCCACTCTGGGAGGGAACTGCTGGGGCATCTGGAACAGGAAAGTCTTCAAGAGCAGTGTCTCCTTTCTGCTACAGTGAAGTGGAGTCTCTGTAGGTTGAGCCCAGCAGGGGCGCAGGGTGTGTTCCCTGCAGGGATGCAAGCAAGCTGCAGTTGACACCGCACTTCGTTGTTGCAGGGTGCAGTGGAGCCCATGCAGATCGATGTGGATCCACAGGAGGACCAGCAGAATGCACCCGATATCAACTACGTGGTGGAGAACCCCACTCTGGTACGTATGGGGGGGGGCAGAGGGATGGCACTGCTTGTCCAGGGCCTCTTCCTTGGCAGTGTCTTTAAAGGACTCTTTCCTCATTCACCCCTTGTAAATCTTGAAGCCACAAATTGGCAGCATGTCTCCTGTGCAAGGTGGTGGGTGGGAGTGACCAGCAAGCTGTCCCAGAGCCTCTTCTCCTGTGCCAGTCTTGGCAGAGGGTGGGCAGCTGGTATGGGCAGCATGTTGTAAGCACCTTCTCAGGTGGGTCAGTGGACCCTCTGATACCCAGAAATGGGTTTTTTTGGGGAGGGTGCTCTCTCTCTCAAAATGGATTGTTAAATTGAATTTCACTAAGGATCCTGTTCACTAGGATCCTTAATTGTGTCTGAAGCTTCCAGGATGAGATTGATTGGAACTTCCAAAGAGCAGAGCTTTGGAGGGCTGCCTTCCCCACCAGTTAGTAGGCAGGATGTTATGATCTGGCCGTATGAATGGTACTGGTGCGTTTAGCAACAATTTCCTTTGTGAGCCCCTGACCAGTGACCAGCATCACTAGAATGAAGAATGGTTGCCCAAGCCCAGTCTTTGGAGAAATTAACAATGAATGACGACAAGATGTACATGACATGCACAACTGCTTTCTTAGCAGAGCACTGCTGTAAACCACTTAAAGGAGGAAAAGCTAGAAGTAAGCTTGTATGTGCAACCTCAGTTTGCACCCCCTATTCATGTGCAATTGCATGATCATGTACTGTTGTTTTCACAGAGCCCCTGCCTCTCTGACTGCACAGCATGGAAGTTGCTCACGTTGTGAGTTTCTGTACAGTATTCTGTCTCTGTGGTCCTGTAACTTACTTGTTTTGTAATGTTCAAACACTGCTCTGAAGACAACAGTATTAATTTCTCCATGGGCTTTTTCTGTGGGGCTCATCACTTTAGAATCTGCTTCACACAACACTCCTGTAAGATGAGGGGTGTTGTCTCCCTTTTATGGACAGGGAGTAAGGCATAGCTGGGCAAGTAAGTTAAAAAATGCTCGTTAATTTTGAGTGCCGAATTTGAGATACTTAGCACGTGATTTCTCAGAGCTCTTCACGTTCAAAACAGCTCTTGGGTTTCAGTTGCAACTGTGAGCTTGTGGCTTTTCTGCAGATCAGATCCCTGGGTCTCAAGTCAGGTGTCCAGGAAATGAGATCACTAGCCAAAAAATTATAGTTTTAAATGATTTGCTCAGCACCACCCAGGAACTTGGCACAAAAACCTCCTTTTCCTTTCTGCAGTACCCCTGCCTGCTTTCCTACACCCCTTGTACCCTTTGCAGGACATGAAGCAGGAATTCTCGAGACAAATTGTCACTAAATACAAACCCATTCATCCCCAGAGTGAGTTCATCCAGTGTGCTGGATCAGGCAAGGCCCCTGCTGGAATAGTAGTATGTGTTCATGGATTTTTGCTTCCTCTTATTCTTGGAAAAGGCTGACATTTACCAAAAATCTGAGCCTGAGGCAGAAAGCCTCCCTGGACTGTTTCAGTCTGAATGGTTACAGTCAGGTAAAGTTACTAACAACTGGCAGCAGACTCTTAACATGAGAAGTGTCAGGCACCCTTAGCAGTAGGTGGGGCCAGTAGCCAGGCCTGTGGTAAACCCTGAGTTATGGTGAGACACGTGGCACCCTAGTGAATGGACTCGAATGGTGAGGGAGGCAGGAATGAGAGTTCCTGTCCTCAGTTCTTGTCAAGGTTGTGACGGACAAGGTGTGGCCGTGGGGTACTGACACCATTCCTTCCCACGGGCTGGGTTTGTTCACAGGATCTGGAGCAGTATGCCTCCAGTTACAGTGGCCTGATGCGGATTGAACGCCTGCAGTTCATTGCTGACCACTGCCCCCAGCTCCGGGTGGAAGCCCTCAAGATGGCACTGTCCTTCGTCCAAAGAACTTTCAATGTTGATGTTTATGAAGAAATCCATCGAAAACTGTCTGAGGCCACCAGGTACGTGGCAGGGGCAGGTGCTTTGACCAGACAAGCATGTGTGGACAGGGAAACCTCTGTGCAAGCTGTCAGCATGCTCCTGTGTCAATCAGACAGGAGTCTGGCATTGGGCTCTGCAAAACTGGACTTGCCTCTAGCAGGGATTCAGACATGCAGAAGGGTCTATTTTCTTAGCCTGTGACCATTACTTGGGGCTAGTGATGGTTATGTGTGGGTGCTGCTCTCAAGTTTCTGTTGTGCACAGAGTGGTCTCCGTCATAGGGAACCCAATCCAATTTCTTCCAGGGGCTCACACTTCCTGTTGGCCTAAAAACCTGCTAAATGTTTGCTTTTCTGCTTAGCCAAGGCCCCATAACAAGACTAACATTTGCATGTGGCTGTGGTCTGTCTCACATTTGATCCACAGTTTCTGTCTGGGTCTCTAGTTAAAATGCATGTTTGCTGGGTTCGTAACTAATCTGCACCGAGAGCCTTTTGTCCTGGGCTGGGATGGTTGTGTCCTGCATGGCAGTGTATTGAGGCTTACTGGTTTTGCATGTGCTTGGAAGGAAATGGCTGGATCAGGTGTGGTTTCCTGGCACTGGTTAAACCACAGTAGACATAATTCATCTGAAATTAAATGTCAGTGGAGGGCATTACCAAAAACTCAGGACTGTTCAGCCTTTAGAGGAACAGGGTTGCAGCCCATCTGTGATTAGAGCCTGTTTTGCCAGTTTAGTTACAGAATTAAGGTACAGCTCCATTTTCCCTGAGGGCCCTTAGGCACAAATTAAGGTACAATTACAGTTCCTTTAATTATCACCACTCAGTTACAAGAGAGGCAAAAGACAAGGTTCTACAGCCTGACCCTTTTCTGTTATACCCCAAAAGCACAAGAACAAACACTTATTCCAATGCCTGTCTAGTGACCCAAAACAGCACAACAGAGACACTCTCACCCGTACCAGCCGGGAAGACCTCAGGACAGAAGTGATGCACAAACTGTCTAGTGTGTCTTGAATTCTCAGAGTTATTTTTCTTTTCTTTTTTTTCTTTTGGTCTATATCCTACATTACATAGGTGGCTTGTTCTGACATTTTAATAAATGACCTCTGATGGGTTTTATTCAGAATCTGTGAATTTCAGTGAAACTGTGGAACTAGCCTAGCCAGGTTCTTTCATGGACTTTGAAAGTGCTTGGTAGTTGGAATTTATATCCTACGGCCAGTGCCTTTTCTGGAGAGGGAGAGTATCCTGCTTCCTTCATGGAATGTTGCCACCACTCTGTTTCCTCCTTATCTTGGTTTATGGTCTTCTGACACGGCTGCTTTGTTCTTACAGCTTATCTAAGAACCTTACCACAGATATCTCTGTTACAGAAAAACTGGCTGGTACATTGGTTTAACATCAGTCAATATTACCAGTATATATGGATTTTCTAATTTAGGGCTTTCTTTTATGATGTCTTCTTTCAGCCGTGTGTTCTGTTTAATTGGATCTGGTTGAGCTGGACATGTGAATTGCTTTTGGTACTTTGCTGACTGGGCCAGGTGTCACGTGTGTGAACGGTCACTCTGCAGTTTCTCAGAAACGGGCTTGGGAGCCTCCTGCTTGAGTCAGTAGCTTGACACAGGCCTCTTGCTTAAGGCTGGCAATAAGTGCTCCCACATCTCTGGCCTAACACATTCAGCTGACAGACGCATACTTTCAACAGGTTTCTGGCTGACTCCATACAATTCAGCCTTCCTTATCAGAAGCCAACATATCAGGTGTTACTTTGAACTGCTACCGAGCACTGTAAAACCAATTATTCACACTTGGCCTAGCCTAGTATTAGTGATCTGGATTAATAAATGCTTCCTCTATTTTCCCAGGCTCGCTCTTACCGCTAAATGCAAGCTTAAATACATGCTGTCATAATTCAGGTTTATGTGAGGTTCAGAGTCTACCCTTGCCACTGTGGTGTTCCAGTTACTGACCATGCCTGTGGCCTAGACAAGGGATTCAGCTCAAGCAGGAAATTCTGAGCTGACTCGTGTGTTGTCCCTTTCATGGCTGTGCTGTGTGCCCTTTGTTAGAGCCTTCTTCAGCCTTGGCATCAAGTCCTGGCAGTCTAGCTGGTCAGAACAACTTGGGGAGGGAGCAGGGCACTGGACTGTGTGCCTGCTGTGAGCCATGTGGAAGAGCTTGCAAGGGGGTTTATTGACTGGTCCATGGTTGATGCAATGGGATAGTTGCTCCCCGCAGCACTAGTGACCCTCTGTCCTTTGAGCCACAGAGTGAGCTGCTTGTTTTCCAGCCCACCAGGAGCCTGGTCATTCATCGGACTCCTGCAAAGGTGAGGAAGAGGGTTCGTAGCCAGTTGCAACAGCAAACCAGGCAGTGTTCGAGCTGCTCAGGAGGCAGAACTTGCACAGCTGATCATATCCCTTTCTTTTCCCCTTGTGTTGGTGTGGGGGGGCATGGGGCTGTGGGCAGGCGCAGTGCTGTGTGCCTGGAGATCTGTGTCACGCAAGCAGCAGCCCTGTCTGGAGGAGCTTGCAGCTGACCTGCCTAGCTAAGCTGTGTCCTCCCCTTCAGAGAACTGCAGAACACCCCTGACGCGGTCCCGGATGGTGGGATTGAGCCCCCTCCGCTTGATACTGCCTGGGTTGAGGCCACGCGCAAGAAAGCCCTTCTCAAACTGGAAAAGCTGGACACTGACCTGAAAAACTACAAGGGAAACTCGATCAAGGAGAGCATCAGGTGAGGAAAAGAGCGGGTTCCTCTGACTCAGGCTCAGGGGGCGATGGGTGGCTGAGATGGGTCAGGTGGCATGAGCTCTGGTCCCAGGGAGCCCTGCACTTACCAGAGTTTCCCTGCCCAAGCATACGGTTCTGCTCTTAATCCTCTTTTCCAGGAGAGGCCATGATGACTTGGGTGATCACTACCTCGATTGTGGAGACCTCAGCAATGCCCTTAAGTGCTATTCGAGAGCCCGTGACTACTGCACCAGTGCAAAGCATGTGATTAACATGTGCCTCAATGTCATCAAGGTAGCGTGCCCTGCAGTCCCCGACCTGAGGGAGGGAGCGTGCCCTGTGGTCCCCGACCTGAGGGAGGGAGCGTGTCCAGTGCAGAAGCTGCGCAGGCTGCAGTCCCCTGTGCCTTGCCTGTCGTGGCCCAGTGTGGCCAGCAGGTGGCATCGCTGGCTCACAACCCTACTGCTGCTGACCGCTCCGTGTGCTTGAGCAGGTCAGCGTTTACCTCCAGAACTGGTCGCATGTCCTGAGCTATGTGAGCAAGGCGGAGTCCACGCCAGAGATCGCAGAGGTAAGAGCATCTGTCTCCGCCTGTCCTCGGCACATTCCCTCTGCTCTCTGCTCCCCACCCTGGGCAGGGCCCTCCTGCCTTGACCACCCCTTTCTCTGTACTGCATCTGCTCACTCCCGCTACCCCTTCCTTCCCAGAGCAGGGCCCATCTGACTGGGAGCTTGGTGCCACCTTGCAGCATGGTGCCTGCTCCCTCTGGGCCCCCTGTCTCCGTAGCAACACAGGTGTGGGACCTTTTGGCCCTCTGTGAGTGGTGCAGGAACCCACTGTATTACTTGCTAAGGGTGGACATCAGGTGGAAGCCATGAAGGACACTCAGTGAGTGTGGTCCTACGAAGGGGTCAGCAAAACTGGTTCCCTCGTGAGACTGTTCCCTGCCTTCCTGCACTCGTGACTGCACTGAACATCACCATGGCAGCCCCCAAAGCTGTTTGTTGTCCTCCCCCCAAAGGAAGGTGCTGGGTTGGGGCCTGAGCTGGTCACTTACTGATGCTCTTTTCACCCAACAGCAACGAGGAGAGAGAGACAGCCAGACGCAGGCAATCCTGACCAAACTGAAGTGTGCGGCAGGTGAGGGAGCGCCACAGCCCCTGGGATGCCCTGGGTCGCTGCCCTTCCCACTAGAGAGGTCCGGGGTAGGGGCGCCGGGGAGTACTCGGTGCCCCCACTGACCTCTTGCGCTGCACACTCTCCTAGCAGGAACTGGGAGCCAGGGTGGTGATGGAGCTCTCTTGTGTTGGCTCCAGCCCTTTCTTCTGTCACCCAGAGCTCCCCCAAATAAGGGGCCATGCAGTGATTCTTCCAGCTCTGGTTGCTGTATGCTGACCTGGCACAGGCTGTGCTTCCCTGAAGCTGTGCGGGTCCTAGCGGCCCCATGCCCCCTCTGCTTCCCTACACTTGTTGCTTGTGCCACAGCTAGCGTGTGTTCTTGGGAACAGAGACCTGACTCTGTCTGTTCTTAGGCTTGGCTGAACTAGCAGCTCGGAAATACAAACAGGCAGCGAAGTGCTTCTTGTTGGCCTCGTTTGACCACTGTGACTTTCCAGAGGTAAGGACTGCGGAGAGGTAGGTGCAAGGGTCCCAGGGCTGTTGTGTCCTTTCAGAGTTATGTGTGGGCCTCTCAGTCCTTAGTATGTGTCTCTTCATGGTGCTGCCCTGCTGTCTGAGGTGATGGTAGTTATCCCTGTGCACAGAGGAAGCCAAGGCCCAGGGAGGCTAATGCTAATGACTTGTCCAAAGCTGCATGGGACATCTTCCGGGGCAGGGAGCTAACCTAGGGCATGTCCACATTGGTACTTGGTCTCTCTGCATTTGCCAAGCCAGCCCTGTAGACAAGGAGTTTGGGAGGCAGGCCCCACCGTGCCCACACCTTCCTCCCCAGCCCCTGCCTGGAGCCAGGTAGCAGTGCTCTGATGACTTATTAGTTTGGCTCTCTCTTCAGCTGTTGTCTCCTAGCAATGTAGCTGTGTATGGTGGCCTCTGCGCACTGGCCACCTTCGACCGTCAGGAGCTTCAGCGCAACGTCATCTCCAGCAGGTGGGCAGTGTCCTCGGTAGAGTTTGGGGGTGGGCAGATCTGGATACGGGCTTGGCTCTACAAGACAGGAGGCAGCTGAGGTGCCCATTCCTTGCCCCATTAGGCACCCATCCCTTTGATGTTAGCTGGGTTCTCTGTTAAAAGGGCAGGAGTTTAGGTGGAAACAGCCAGAGCAGATCAGAGCCTTGGTCTGTGTGGACTGGTCTCCTCTCTGCAGCAGAAGCAGGTAGGCTCTTTGCTATCAGGCGTGAGGATTTTGAGATTGAGCCACAGGATTTCAGCCAAGCTCTTAATGCCTCTACAAAGCTTATCTTAATTCTAGATACTGTCCCCCGTTGCAGAAGCACCTGCAGTCCTACTTCTGACTCCTTGCCCCCTCTGTGCTATGGGTGCATTCATCTGGTGCAGGAATGGGGGAACTGTCTCTCTCTTACCCCTCCTGTCTTCGTGCTCAGCAGTGCAGGGAGAGGCCTGGCATGTGCAGAGATCAGTGATCGGGATTCCTGAGGCTAGGCTACCAGTGGAGTCAGGCACCATCAGCAGTTTCCCCTGGGGGTCCTGGGCTCTGTCCTCCTGGACAGCTGCATGCTGAGCCTACCTGCTCAGCCAAGGGTGCTCCTGAAAAGGAGGCTGAATGTAGCTAGCAGGCAGTGCAGACAGAGGCATCTCAACCATAACCAGCCCCATGCTGCTTTCTGGAGGCCATGCCCCCCGCAGCCCGGGTGCCTAGTGCTAACGCTTTGTGCATCACAGTACAGACAGTGAGGAGAACATTCGCAGCCCAGGCCTTGCATGGGAGGAAGGGGTGTGGCAGTGGGGCAGGATGTCTCAGTGGGGCCTCCAGGTCTGAGTACTGGCGTGTGTATCTGCAGCTCCTTTAAACTATTCCTGGAGCTGGAGCCTCAGGTGCGTGACATCATCTTCAAATTTTACGAATCCAAGTATGCCTCTTGCCTGAAGATGCTGGACGAGATGAAGGTGCGTCTGAAGGAGTGGGGAACAGGGGCTGGCAGCCCCACACCATCTGGGAGGGAATCGCTGGGTGTTCGGAGTGGTGGGTGTGTCCCAGTTGGCTCTTCCACTCTGTCTCTTGCTTGCAGGCAGGAGTGAAAATCACAGTCAGAAAAGGCCATAACCAGCTGATCCTTCCAGCCACGTTCCTGGTCGCACTGGCATGTTGCTAGTCCTCCGATTCCCTTTTCATAGTCTTCACGTGGCTTGGTAGTCAGTGTTTTTCCCTCTTACTGGCTTCCCCCATTCCTAAGGCTCTGCTTCTTCTGCACAGGATAACCTTCTGCTGGACATGTACCTGGCACCTCACGTCCGGACGCTGTACACGCAGATCCGAAATCGTGCCCTTATCCAGGTAACTGCTCCCTGCCTCTGTGAGCTGGACAAAGGTCAGAAGTGAATCCAGGGAGACCCTCTGGGGTCAGCTGGTCTAGCCCCTGGCAGGAGATTTCAGCCGTCCCAGACAAATACTTGCCCAGCCTAGCCTCAGCATCTCCAAGAAAGAAGGTACCAGCACTTCCTTGAGCACTGGCCTGCTGAGAGGACTTGCTCCCAGAGATTTGTATCTAAATTTGCCATGTGCAGCAGGTGCCTGTGACGTGTTGTCCTGCCTTCTGCAGCAAAGTGGACCAGCCTGCTCCCTTTTCTCTATTAGAAAACTGCTGTCATGTCTCTTCTCTCCAAGCTACTTATCCTACTCCCTTCACGCTTGCTGCTTTGACTTCTACATTCCCACCCTCATCTCATCTTTGTCGCTCCTGTTTCTCTACATCTGTTTTAAGATGTGGTGGCCCAAGCTGACAGTCCTTAGTGTCTCTCTGGTCCAGTACTGATTCCTTCCTCCCCAGTGTTAGAGGGCTGGGGGTGGAGGCAAGGGCATGTCCACTTGGAAACTGAGTGTTTTCTTGCCCCTAGTATTTCAGCCCCTACGTGTCTGCAGACATGCGCAAGATGGCCACTGCGTTCAACACCACCGTGGCTGCATTGGAGGATGAGCTGACCCAGCTGATCCTGGAGGGGCTGATCAATGCCAGAATAGACTCGCACAGCAAAGTGAGTGTCCCCTAGGCCATGTTTGTCTGCAGCAGGGCTGGAGTGCAAGTTATGGTCTCAGGCAAGCAGCTGGCTTGAGACACAGTGTTACAAGTCTTTGGTCACCTCTGGTGAAATGCCATCCTGGTTTTAAAAAAAAGGGGCTTTGCTTTTCACTGAAGAGGCCCTGGGGTAACAGTCTGCATCTCCCTGTCCATTTCTGTTCCTGGGAGACTGGAGCTGCATTTGTTGTAGCGAGCGGCAATTAGCCTGGCTGTTTTCGAGTGGGCCTGAGCCTGAGAGGTGGTTCAGCCTTAGATCTGCAGTGTAGAAAGGGCTCCTGCTGAGCTGAGTCTCCTTGTGGGTTCCAGATACTCTATGCTCGGGACGTCGACCAGCGCAGCACCACCTTTGAGAAGTCCTTGCTAATGGGCAAGGAGTTCCAGCGCCGTGCCAAAGCCATGATCCTGCGCGCAGCTGTTCTGCGCAACCAGATCCATGTCAAGGTGAGCAGAGGGCTCTTGACTGGCACAGAACAGTAACTGCTGGTGAACTGCGCCCTTGGGGGAATAGGGGTTCACATGAGCGCAAGCTCACATGGGCATCTTGTGCAGAGAGCAGGGACATCCATTGAACCTGCTAGGCTGACCAGAGGCTGCGGCTCATAACTGGGGTGGGTGCTGATTGCTCGTTCCAGGCAGCTGGGCCGGGTCTGGTTCAGTTTTTGTGCTGAATTCCCTCTGCATTGGGGTGTCCCCACCAGGGTGGCCCTAGGGAGTTTACAGGTTCTCTCTGCACGTGGATAGCATGTGTCACCCAGGTGTCCAGGGCTAGCCACCATTTACGGCTGGGTTGGGTGTCTGAAGCTGTCTAGCTGTAGTTTGCCGCAGCCCCATAAGCTACATATGAGATGCTGGGAGTGATCAGTGGCCAGAAAAATGGCTCAAGCTTCCTGTATGTTTGCAGGTGACAAAAGGATCTGTGTTCTGAGGGCTTGGACAGCATGAGCTGCCTTCCTCTTAGGGAGGGATGAGCCCTGGGCATCCTCACCCCATTGCGCTCTGCCTCCTTGCTGGGAGTGTTCTGTGCTGGGTGCCACGCTGCAGGATTCCACCCTGACCAGGGTGTTCTGTTCGCTCTGATTGCAGTCTCCTCCAAGGGAAGGCAGCCAAGGGGAGCTCACGCCAGCTAACAGCCAGTCGCGAATGAGCACCAACATGTGAAGCCTTCGTGGGCTGTGGAAGCCGATCCCCACCCAGGACTGCATGTCCTACAGCCTGACCACAAACTGCTGAGGTTCACAGACTATCCCTGACTCACTCCCTCCCCCTGGGTGGGGTGGGGCCAGGGCTGGTGGTGGCTACCATTGATACCCCAATTAACTTAATTCCTTTAGAAGAGAAGCTCCCACTAAATGCAGCAGCCCTGGAACTGGTTTTCACGTCAGTGCTGGTAGCACATCTGCCCCATTCCCCTACACCCACAGCCCCAGAAAGTGCAGGTTATTCAGACAAGTGCTGATTTTTTCGGTCCCTTCAGCTGCTGTGGGAGCTTTCCTGAATCAGGGGTGCACAGGCAGGCTACAGAGGGGTTTCTCTACCCTGGAGTTTTGTCTTGTTTCCTGAGCTGTGCAGTGCTTCCCCTTTACTTCAGAGAAGCCCTCAGAGTGCTGCATTTTCACTGGGCGACCCAGAGGGCAGCTGGACGGGAGTTTTCTGCAGGAGGTACACACTAGGGCTCCGCACCACCCTTGAAAGACGGGCACCATGCCCAGACCCTCAGGCACTGTGTGCAGGCTGTCTCCCTTACCATTGGGCTCAGCCTCTTTCAGTTTAGCCTGTCTTTTTTCAAAGATCTGTTTCCTTTGTCCCCCCTCCTTGCTACCTGGCACTGCTGGTGAAGATTCTGCCCCATGGCAGTGTCTGCATCTTGGGCAATTGCTGTTGCTTGGCCAGTTTTACTGCCCCCTGTACAGTGGTTTCCTGCTCCTGTGCGCCAGGGAAAGCTGGTAGCATGGCTAAATGGCATAGAAATGGCACAGCCTCCCTGGGCAGAAGCTGAAAGGAGTCAGCCATATGTCTGCACTTCAGATGCATCGTGTCCTTTTGTGCGTGGATGTTCTGCAGTTAGTTCTGCCTTGCGTTGGTGCAGCCCCATAGAACGAAGCTGATAACATGGTTCCAGACTCTGCACGTCCCTCAGCTTCCTGCAGGCGTCCCTGTTCATGCTGGTTTGGGTTTAAACAAGTTGTTCTCTAGTGCATTAAACAGCAGAACTGAGCTGTTTGCAGCCCTGTGTGATGTGTTGTGGTGCAGTTGTTCTTTAGATATCAGTCTGAATTGTCTATCATTCCACTGGCCTTGGTGCTGCTGAGGCTGCAGCTGGCACCTCTTATCTGGCTGGAGATGCTCGGGGGCATGGGGAGCATCACCCTCTCGCTGCTGCATTGGCCTGGGTGAGGGCTCTGGGAGGCTGCTGAGCTGAGGGGCTCCCTCCACTTCAGATGCCTGCAGGCAAAGCAGTGGTTGTGTAAAGAGCAGGCTGGGACAAGAGCACCGGCCAGGCCTTTTGTGATGTGCTTCCCATTTCCCTCCAAGAGGATTCTTCCTTTCAGCTGTCTCTCACATAAGGGCTGCCCCTCCCTTGTCAAGACAACATGTAGCAAGTGTAACCTCTGCTGGACAGGCCAGGACAAG